GGTAATTTTTGGGGTGAATTTGGGGTAATTTGGGTGTATTTTTGGGCTGTATTTGGGGTGAATTTTTGGGGTGAATTTGGGGTAATTTGGGTGTAATTTTGGGGTGAATTGGGGGTGTTTTGGGCTGTATTTGGGGGGTGTTTTTGGGGTGAATTGGGGGTGTTTTGGGCTGTATTTGGGGTGTGTTTTGGGGTGTGTTTTTGGGGTGAATTGGGGGTGTTTTGGGGGCCCCTCACGTCGTAGAAGTCGGTTTTGAACTTGTCGGTGCTGAGCACGGGCAGGCAGTGGCAGAGGGCGCAGGCCTCGCGCAGGATCTCGTGGTTGAACGGAACCTCCCCTGCAATTTGGGGCAAAAAAACCCAAAATTGGGATTCGGGGACCCCACAGAAAGGATCGGGGACCCCGAAAACCCCCAAAACCCCCCCGGAAAACCCCAAAAAAACGGCTCCAAAATGGATCAAAACGCCCAAAAAAACCCAAAATCACCCCAAAAAAACCAAAAAAACCCAAAACTGACCCAAAAAAACCCCAAAAAACCCGAAACTGCCCCAAAAATCCCCCAAAAAACCCAAAACTGCCCCAAAAAAACCCAAAACTGCCCCAAAAATCCCAAAATAACCCAAAACTGCCCCGAAAAAACCTAAAAAACCCAAAACTGCCCCAAAAATCCCAAAATAACCCAAAACTGCCCCGAAAAAACCTAAAAAACCCAAAACTGCCCCAAAAATCCCAAAAAACCCAAAACTGCCCCGAAAAACCCCCAAAAAACCCAAAACTGCCCCAAAAATCCCAAAAAACCCAAAACTGCCCCAAAAAAACCCAAAAAACCCAAAACTGAAAAAAAACCCCAAAAAACCCAAAACTGCCCCAAAAAAACCCAAAAAACCCAAAACTGCCCCAAAAAAACCCAAAATTAAAAATTAAAATTAAAAATTCCCCAAAATCCCAAATTAAATCCCCAAAATCCCAAATTAAATCCCCAAAATCCCAAATGAAATCCCCCAAAATCGCTAAAAATCCCCTAAAACCTCCCCAAACTCCGCTTTCCCCCCGGTTTTTCCCCGGGATTTTGGGAATTCCGTGGGATTCGGGTGGATTTTGGGGGGGTTTTGGGGTTTTTGGGGGGTTTTGGGGTTTTTTGGGGTTTTTGGGTGGATTTTGGGTTTTTTTGGGTGGATTTTGGGGGTTTTTGGGGTTTTTTGGGGGTTTTTGGGTGGATTTTGGGGGTTTTTGGGTGGATTTGGGGGTTTTTGGGGTGTCTCACCGGCCTCGGCGGCGCGGACGTACTCGAGGATGAGGCGCACGCGGCTGTGCAGCATCTTGATGGCGCTGTGCTGGGCGATCAGGTGTTCTGCCACTGGATCAGGGGAAATCCCGGGATTTGGGGACAATTCCGGGGGTTTGGGGACAATTCCCGGGATTTTGGGACAATTCCTGGGATTTTGGGACAATTCCAGGGGTTTGGGGACAATTCCAGAGGTTTGGGGACAATTCCAGAGGTTTGGGGACAATTCCGGGGGTTTGGGGACAATTCCGGGGGTTTGGGGACAATTCCTAGGATTTTGGGACAATTCCAGAGGTTTTGGGGACAATTCCAGAGGTTTGGGGACAGTTCCAGGGATTTTGGAACAATTCCGGGGGTTTTGGAACAATTCCAGGGATTTTGGGACAATTCCAGGGATTTTGGAGACAATTCCAGAGATTTTGGGGGTTGTTTTGGGGACAATTCCGGGGATTTTGGGACAATTCCAGAGGTTTGGGGACAATTCCAGGGGTTTGGGGACAGTTCCGGGGGTTTGGGGACAATTCCAGGGATTTTGGGACAATTCCAGAGGCTTTGGGATAATTCCAGGGATTTTGGGGGTTTTTTTGGGAACAATTCCAGGGATTTTGGGGATTTTGGGAGAATTTGGGGGATTTTGGGGTTTTTTTGGGACAGTTCCGGGGATTTTGGGGACAATTCCCGGGATTCTGGGGACAATTCTGGGGATTTTGGGGTTTTTTTTGGGGAGAATTTGGGGGATTTTGGGGAGAATTTGGGGGATTTTGGGGAGAAATTGGGGATTTGGGGACAATTCCGGGGATTTTGGGGTTTTTTGGGAGAAACTGGAGAACATTTCAGGGATTCTGGGGAGAATTTGGGGGATGATGGGGCTGGATTTTGGGTGAAACTCTTTGGATTTGGGGTGTAAACCCCTGGATTTGGGGTAAATCCGTGGATTTTGGGTGTAAATTCCTGGATTTTGGGTGCAAACCCCCCGGATTTTGGGTGTAAACCCCCAGATTTTGGGTATAAATCCGTGGATTTTGGGTGTAAATTCCTAGATTTTGGGTGCAAACCCCCAGATTTTGGGTGTAACTCCCCGGATTCTGGGTGTAAATTCCCGGATTTTGGGTGCAAACCCCTGGATTTTGGGTGTAAATCCGTGGATTTCGGGTGTAAATTCCCAGATTTTGGGTATAAACCCCCGGATTTTGGGTGTAAATCTGTGGATTCAGTGGATTTCGGGTGTAACTCCCCTGATTTCGGGTGTAACTCCCCAGATTTTGGGTGTAAATCCTGGGATTTTAGGTGTAAACCCCCGGATTTCAGGTGTAACTTCCCAGATTTTGGGTGTAAATCCCTGGATTTCGGGTGTAACTCCCCGGATTTTGGGTGTAACTCCCCGGATTTTGGGTGTAACTCCCAGGATTTTGGGTGTAACTCCCCGGATTTTGGGTGTAACCCCCAGATTTTGGGTGTAACCCCCGGATTTTGGGTGTAACTCCCCGGATTTTGGGTGTAACTCCCCGGATTTTGGGTGTAACTCCCAGGATTTTGGGTGTAACTCCCCGGATTTTGGGTGTAACCCCCAGATTTTGGGTGTAACCCCCGGATTTTGGGTGTAAC